AAAAAAATTCAATTTCCTATTGTTCATTGCAAATATGGAAATTTTTTTTTTTTTTAAGTAGAGACAGGGTTTTGCCATGTTGGCCAGGCTGGGCTTGGACTCCTGACCTCACGTGATTTGCTGCCTCAGCCTCCCAAAGTGCTGGAATTACAGGCATGAGCCACCTTGCCCGGTCATAACTGATTTTTTAATATGCTGACTTTGCATCCTGCAACCTTGCTAAACTTACTAACTTTAGTTTTAGTAGTTTTTTTGTAGATTCTTTGGGATTGTCTATGAAATCATATTGTCTGTGAGTAGATTTGAAGGTGCTTTATTAAATGGGAGTAGTGAGAACGAACATCTTGCCTTGCACTTGATCTTAGGAAAAAAGAATTCAGTTTTTCAACATTAACATTTTTTCATGCTCAAGTTAATGTTTCTATATACACTTACTATGGAAGATATAGGTAAATAATGTATCAGCTATTTCAGCTCTCAGATTCCTGGGTATCAAAGAACTATCTCTGGACTTACGAAATGTTAATCCATTCAAGCCCGTTTTTTGTTTTGTTTTCTTCTTCTCTCAATTTTTTTTTCTTAAAATTATAAACCACAATCAGGGAATACAATGTAAAAGTTTGGCATTAAAGGAGTAACCATTGTCTCATATAATCAACATAATTCCAGTCTAAAAAAAACATTTATATCCTTTACTCATAAATGTATCATCTAAGTAGGACGACGTTAGTTAGAGTTAAGGATATAAATGTTTTCTCAGTCAGTCTCGTTACAGCTTTCTCAATTTTACTGACTCTTCCCCAAATAATCAGCTTGTCTGTCTTTATTATTAGTGTAATGCTGGCCTTGCAGAGTTGAGAAGTGTTCCCTCCTTTCTATGTTCCAGAAAACGTTTTGTAGAATTGGTTTATTTCTTATTTATTTATTTGGTAAAATTTACTAGTGAAGACATCTGAGCCTGGAGTTTTTTATGTTGGAAGGTTTTCCAACAAAAACAACGTATTTCATAGATATAAAACTATTCAGCTTACCTGTTTTTTCTTGAGTGCAATTTAGCAAATAGTCTCTTTCAAAGAATGTTTTCATTTCATCTAAGTTGTGAAATTTTTGAGTATAGAGTTGTAAGCGGTATTCCCTTACTTTCTTTCTAATGTCTAAAGAGCCTGAGATCTGAAATAGCTGATATATGATTTTCTTAAGTAAAAAGTATTTTATCCATATCCCCACAGTAATGTATTCATACATTAACTTGAGCATGAAAAAATTTAGGTGAACTGACAGATTCATACCCTGGAGTTATGGGAAAATTACAGGTTTTCAGAATGCTTAGTATTTCTGACATACACATTCTTAGGGCATTCTTACTAAGCATTCTGGTATTAGAAGTAAGAAAAACAAACCAAAAAAGACAGTGGTGTGTGCCCATGCCCATGGTCCCTATTACTTGGGAGGCTGAGGCAGGAGGATCACTTGAGCCTAAAGGTTCAAGTCCAGCCTGGGCACTATAGCAAGACCCTATCTCTTTAAAAAAGAAAGAACTCCCAAATTTAAACTCTTATTCCTTTATTAATATTCTTTATATATCGAATGAAGTTCTTATTCTTTACTCTCCCTACAATCCGGCAAGTGTTTCTACATACATGCTGAATTTAATCCCAAATGTTAGGTCTCAAAGCCTTATTAACAACACTTAGAAGACTGCTTGATAGGAGTTATCGTGTTCCTGATACTTAGTGAATTATTAGTGATTATTGGTTAGTGAATGAGACAACCTCAAAGACAAAAATGAATGACTGGTGTACAAAAACCTTAAGAAGCAAGACAAAACACACAACTTAAGACTACTACTGTGAGTGAGGATTTCAGGCTTGCAAAACAATTCTAATAACTTACCAATAACTCCAAGGCTGGTGAGTCGAAGATACTCAAAGGGACGTGTTTTGCTGACAGT